TTCTATAAATATCGCAATAGTATTGTTATCATGAACTCTTTTGGCCACAATAATCGTGTGGTGAAAATCTACACTACCAAGTTATTTTAAAAGTCCTATATTTTACACTTTTCCAGTGTTTGATCCATAAGAGGATTTATTTGTGGTTTTAAGTACCAACAACCATCTCAGTGTAGTTTTACATCTCCACTCTCAGGCTGCTCTCTGGAGGTCTAGTAACAACAGGTCGGCCAGCCAATGAGAAGAGAGACTCTAAGTCTCTCCTCTCATTGGCTGACTGTTTTCTGAGTGATTGAATAAAAATATAGCAGATTTCAGAGAGACCAATTCCTGCAAGGTTGGAAAGTGGGCACAAGTGGGCTAGGCTTGGGCAATGGATGAGTGTGTTGAGTGTGTGACATCACAAAGTTACAGAAGTCCATATGACTCATTTTAAGGCTCAGTTTCTGAATACAGGCTGTGTGCATTTCTCTGTGGACTGAGCGCTTACTTGCATAGCATCAATATAGAACCCAGACCTGCTTTATAATCAAAAAAGACATGGGAATATACCTTTATACAATATGGGACCTTTAATCAAGAATAAACAATTTGTGTGTTAGATAGATGCAGTATTTCTGTTGAATGTTTTGAAGCATGTGAGGTTTGCATTCCAGCTGAAATCTAATGGTTAACAGGATACGAAATAAACAGCCATTAGTTCCAACATAGCTCATTATAGAGGCATATTATTCCACAGCATACTTCTCTGTACCTCAGAAACAGAGTCCAGCGCATCGTGGTGAACCACAGACAAGAGTTTGAGGGAGACAGTTATTGCCCTGGAGGTATGGCTTCTTCCAGGGTTTTCTGTATGCATTAATACCGCCCACTTCCAACAAAAAAGAAACAGCTTTGTTTACAACTATTCCTGCTGGAATTACTGTAAGGAAAGGTCTTCTGGGGGAGAACTGCTCCTGGCATGCCTGACTGTTTCAGTATTTAACCAGATTTCAGAGGGAGAGAGAGAGAGGGAGAGAGAGAGAGAGAGTTGGTCTTGGCACCGCTTGTGGTTTCAAGTCCATTTCTGGAAACACCGGGCTCTTATAGTCCATTAGAGAGGAGAGTGAGCTGTTAAGGGAATAGGAAGAGAATTGGTTGTTGGGGGAGAACAAAGGGAGATCATATGGTCTGACTGGTTATTAAGCCTGAGAGACAAACAACAGGATGACAGCTAGCAGACATAAATGTCTTGATCAACAGCATTATTTATAAAGATACAATATTGTTATGACAATATACATATAGCTAGGATACGTGCAAGAAAATAAGACTATGAATGCCGGTGAACTCAGGGATAACCCTTGATATGTTTGACCTTAATTTAAAGTCTCAGAGGTTCAAATCACCATCAGAAATACTGATCACTCATTACATTACCATGTGTTTGTGTTTCACAGACTGAGTCAACTTGAATTGCAAGTCTTTGATTCCATGACAGATTGGAAACAAATCTGTCCATGTTTTCAGCACTTCAATGGAGCTATAAATAGGAATCATTAATAAACAAACTATTCATGTCTCTTTGTAGGATACGTTGCTACTCCTATAGATGTTAAATAGAAGATTTCCACTAATCAGAGCCGTTCATATGGGTGAGAAATCTGCAGACATTCCTCTGCAGACTGATAAAAAAATTATTACATTGAGTAATTTCTCAACTTCTAAAAGGACTCAGACCTCTTTAGAATAAATTGCTCTGTTGTGACCATGCAGTGATTGTTATCATTATTATGCTCATTAAAATCATCTCAATCAATACTGGTGGTATTGAAGCTCTCCAAAGACTCTTGAAGAGGGCACAGTGGGAAATGCGTGCACAATGCAGTCAGGCAACAGAGACTCACAACCCAGTGACTCACCAGGCAATCTGGAGAACATGCCCTGTGGCTTAGCTGTGATAACGCTGGCACAGAGAGAGGCCAGACCTCAGCCGATCTGGTGGGGAGAACAGCCTTCGCTGTCTTTGCAGTGTTTCATCTCTCCTTCCGAGATAGACTCCGTCCCTCAGAGGAGGCATCAGAGGCACAACAGAGCAGAGAAGAGAAAGAAAAAAAACCCCCCGAAAAACAAGAGTTTAAAAAAACACTCCAGTGACTGTGGAAAGGCAAAAGCACAATCAGTTTAAAGGCAAAGTGAGAAATCAAACAGCCTCAAGGGGTTAAGTGTGATTTAATCTAGTAGGAGAGTGGTGTAGGCCTGTACACATCCACACTGGTGATGCATTGTAGGCGTATCGATAACCTCCGCCGCATGGGAGAGGGAGAATGTGAGAATTTACGGATTCGTAGCAGCAAAAAGGTGGAATTTGACAGTGTTTTGAGAAATGATTTTCATTCTTGTGTTGTGGTTCTGTTAAATGGCACAATTGTTGATTTGATAGACAGTGTTTGCACTAAAAGCATGGAAAATCATTTTTCTGGATGCCTTTTTTTCCCCCTTTTTCCTTCAGTGATCAAACTGATCATATCACAAGTGATACCTCCAAGGCTAGTCCACATGTCAATTATCCAATAATGCCTAAATTGAAACACCATCAGGAAGTACTGTATAGGTTAACACAACCAGGCAGAGTGTTAGAGAGCAGAGCTCAGGGTGGGTTTGCTCTAATTTCATGGGTGGAGGATGGTGCTGACTGTAATCAGTGGCTCACAGAGGCTGACAGTGCAGGTGCCTAATAACCATTCACTGACACATTCACATCCCCGTTTTAGAAGCCGAGGCCTCCTTCCTCACCCAGAATTGGTGGTGCAGCGAATCCAGGCACTGACATTTTAATTCCTGACTGCCTAACCTGCCGCCCCCTAAATTACTGTAATTGATTAAATTAGTTTGGACACGGGCCACGAGGTCCTCACTGCACTGGTGACATACAGTAAACATTTTCTCTTTCCTTTCTTATTTATTGATATTCTTCTTTCTCGCCTTCTATTGATCTCTGTCCATGTAGTTTTTGCTTGAAAAAGATGTTGAGAACAAACAGTAGTGTCAGTGTGTGTTTGCTCTCAATGTCTAACAGAGTGACTGCAAGTCAGTGCAAACACTTCAACTAACACATAACCGAAATTATTGCATTTTAAAGCCAATCTAACAGTTGAGTGAAATAAAAAAACACATATTTTTCTATATTTAAATATAGCACAAAACAGTTACATCAGTGAATTATCTAACAACAGCCAGTGTAACATCAGGCCATTATTTATAATTCCCAGGCTGCTGTGGATAACAGATGTTCATGCACACTGTGGGGAGTGAAACTGCTATCCCTCACTGCCCGGTGTATGTAGATCAGTCGCCATGTTTAATGATGCATAAATGACATATTCATACTGCTACGATAACGACACAGACATGCTGTTTTTACATTGCAATGAAGAAGCTTAAAGAAGCTTAATTTAATTTTCTCTTGGTGCTGTCACGGGAATTGTTGGACAGATAATGCTGATCTGCTTTCTCAATCACAAGGAGCATGTTCTCTCTTTTTCAATATTTACAACCTTCTTGTTTACACTTAGCAGCGTTATCTCCTCTGTCAGCCGGTGGTCCTCCTTGTGAGGTTTGTCAAGAATAAAGGAATAGTTTGACATTTTAAAGAACTATCTTGGGCTGTAGTTTGTAAAAGTAAACAACATGAATAACTAACTACATCAAGAGCTAATACAAAGGATATATATCAGATTTATGAGTCTTTCTGCCCCAACAGTGGCCAACAACTGATTAATGCAGCTTGAACTTAATGGTTTCCCATGTGTACCTTGGGACATTATTCACACAATGTAGGAATTGTGCAGTAACGGGTGAATGGTAAAATTTGACACTGATGGTCAGCTATCTACATGCTTTTATATTGACGGACAGAGATAGAAAGAAGATGGATGTTCCAGCCGATATGAGCAAATTATGCATTTCACAGCAACTCATATTCTTGTCAAGGTATATGGCATTCACTCTTAATCAAAGTGTTGGACTATCACTGACCCATTAACTTGCAGGCATTAAGTAAACCCATCACTCATACATGCAAGAAAGGCCATAAGGTCAAAGGTCAAAAAGACATTTTATTTCAAAAGTATTGAAGTCAGATAAAAACTGTCTTTTATGATGATTTTGCCTGTCCTGCTATAATTTAGTTTGGCTTAATGCAAACCAAAGTAATTGGCTATATAGTAAATAGTAACATGGAAAACTCTATAAAAACATTGACATAAAAGTCTTATTCTAATAATACAAGGAAAAATAAATGAAGACAGTTTGTCTTTGTGTTCGTTAGTGATTCAGAGCCAGATAACCAGCAAGTTTGATAACCGCGATTGGATTGGACTGAACCATCCACCCAATCAGTCATCATCATTTACAATACAAAGTTATTCACATCAAGTCCCAAACCACTTTATTTTCAAGGCTTAAGAAAGCATGAGCCAGTGTAACACTTTTAATGAAGACTTTGATGTTAGTTAATTAATGCTGTGAGTTTTCACATTACTTTAGTTCTCATATTAATATCTAGTTTATTTGAGTGTCTGTGCTCTAACAATATCAGAAACTGTCTTTGTGGTGGAATATTTCCAGCAGCTCTCATGCTTTCATTACATTTCTTCAGTGGGTGGGTTGTTTACATAGGGCTAGTCATTCTCATAATGACAAGGGGCCATTAGAATTAAAATGCAAATAATCTCTAAGTGCCTCCTGCTGCAATAAGGCTGCATTGTGGTATTACCCACTCCTGGGTAACTGCTCTATGTTGCTTATGTCTAAGCAAAGTGGCACATTGTTAAAGAAGCGGTTTCAGCATTACTCCACTTCTTCAATAAATCAAAACCATTAACCACCTTCCTTTTAAAGAGTTAACTTTGGAATATATGATATAAAATAGACTGACCTGTTCATTCTGTATTTTCTCTCTGAAGGTGACAGTGTGCTGGTGCGAGATTGAGCACAGGAATGTGAGCGGACCAGTAAAGATGACCCTGTTGGCGGGTGATGGCTCCGACTATGACTACAGTGCCCTGAGCTGTGCCTCTGACACCTCCCTCAACCCACCTCCCATACAAGAGGAGGAGGCTCGAAAGGGGGCTTTCTACAAGAGGGCGCAGCGTGCTCCTGAGCTCAGTGCCATCCATGACGACTCCTCACTCTCCAGCGCCCGCAAACTCCACGCCATCATCAATGTGGGCGGCCTGCGTTACCAGCTGCCTTGGACCACCTTAGAAGACTTCCCCCTGTCTCGTCTGGGCCAGCTGCACCTCTGCAGCAGCTTTGATGAGATCATGCGTATCTGTGATGACTATGATGTTACACACAATGAGTTCTTCTTCGACCGCAGCCCCTGTGCCTTCCGGACCATCCTGACCTTCCTGCGGGCAGGTAAGCTGCGGTCGCTCAGGGAGATGTGCGCCCTCTCCTTCAGGGAGGAGCTGCTCTACTGGGGGGTCCCCGAGGAGAACCTGGAGTGGTGCTGTCGCCGGCGTCTGCTGCAGCGTGTGGAGGAGTTTGAAGCAATGGAGAGGGCAGAGGAGGAGGAGGAACTCCTGGAGGATCTGTTGGATACAGACAGTGGCGACAGGGCGCATGAAGCCGAGTCCAGAGTCAGCCGATGCATGAGCAAGCTAAGAGACATGGTGGAGAGGCCTCACTCCGGCCTCCCAGGGAAGATCTTTGCTTGTTTGTCAGTTTTGTTTGTCACCATCACTGCCATCAACCTATCCATCAGCACCATGCCTGCCATGAGGGAGGAGGAGGAGGCGGTGAGTATAATGACATTTAACATATTAAAGAGAGGTGAAAAAGTCGCTGCCTACAAAAACATGTTGCCACGATGCAATGAAGCATAGAAATGTGTTCATGTCAGTGAGGAAAATTTAAAGGTCCCATATTTTATACTTTTCCTGTGTTTTATTTGAAGTGTTGATCCACAAAAAGATATATTTGTGGTTTTAAGAACCAAAATCCATCTCAATGTAGTTTTACATCTCCTTTTTCAGGCTTCTCTCTGGAGCTCTAGCAACAACAGGTCGGTGAGCCAATCAGAAGAGAAGCTCTGAGTGATCTAAAAAATAAAATATAGCAGATTTTTGGTCAAGAAACCAAATCCTGCAAGGTTGGGTGGTGGGTCCAGGTTTGGCTGGGCTTTGGGCATGGATAAGGGCGCTGACTGCTTTGTTGTGAGATCACAAGTTACAGGATTCCTGATGGCTAGTTTTAAGGCTCAGTTTCTGAATAGAGGCTGTGTGCATTTCTCTGTGGTTGAGTGCTTTGATACTTTCACAGTATTAATATAGAACCTAGACCTGCTTTATAATAAAAAAAAAACCAAATTGAAACCTCACTTATGGGACCTTTAAAATGAAGACATGACACAACACAACATTGTCTGTGGGGAATTGGTCTTTTTTTCTACAGTCATCCCACATAAAGAGACTCCAACAATGAGCATTTGAACCTCACATGGTGGCAAGACTCTGTTTGTCTGCGTTTCTCAGCAGATTTGAATTGAACTGTATTCAAAAGCAAAAATGAGGTGAATTGACGTGTTATTTGGGAAAGCAGTGATTAAAAATCTAATAATGGCACGTCTCAACCGTCATGTCTGTTAGAAGGAGACTGCTGAGAGAGCCGCAGTATTAACCAGTTGTTTTGCTGGATTAGAAAAAAATATTTGAAGTCTCAGTCTGCTTTCGTGAAATGCTTCCATTATTATGTCTGACTTCAATCACAACCATAATTAGCACCCTGGCATCTTAAGTCAAATCAAAGGAAAATGGAATATTTCAGCCACACACATCGTTTTCTTGCGGAGTAAAATGCAAACAGGTTTTTAATGAATTTATTCATTTAGATGCAAAAATTCCCCTTTGGTGGAAATGGGGAGTAAGTGCAATCACTTTACTTTCCATATTTGAGTAGACTTTAGAAACATTGTTGTAGTGGTTTTCACATTGTCTACATTTACTGGAGCTTCAGGTAATCAAGTAAAGATACTGTATGTGTGGTAGTGGGTGGATAGGGAAACCAAAAACAGTTTTTAGTTGAAAGTAACTGCAAACCACATTTCATTCTGCTGACTAAAGTTTCAGCCCTGTTCTAACTCTAACTAATGTATGTCTCATTTAGTTGTGTGGCTTCTTCAGTACATTAATGAGTTGAACATGTTCTCCTTTACAGTGCTAGATCAAACACAATCTGTGTTCTGGGAGGGAAAAGGTATTGAAAAAGAAAAAAAAAGAAATAAAATAACTGCTTGATCTGAGGAAGTCACAGTATTATATTTGACCTGACACGCTCTCTCTGCATTCACACTCCGACTGAATTAAGCTGTTTCATTAAAAGTGTCAATATTCTCATTCTCAGCAGCTCCTCCACCTCAAATCTTTCTTGCAGCCAGACAACAAAGTGTTGCATTAGAAGTGTGTAAGTGTTCCCGTCTCTGGCTGAGCACAGGTTCACTGGAGTTTTTTCAGGTGCTTGTACTGTTTCCTCTTCTGTGGGAGTGTTTCATAATGATACTTTTCCCTGGTATGGGCTTTATTCAAAGGCTGTGCCATAAATGATGGGCTTCAAAATGTTTTGAACCTCCTCGGTGTGCACTGAATCAGCATCATTACTGAAAGAAAAGAAAAGAAAGAAAAAAAATACTCTCCTCCAAAAGATCTTAAAATATGTGACAAGAAGAACAGCGAGGTAATTTTATAGGCTTTGAATTAACAGTTGAATTTTAAGGCAGTATCATAATTGATATTTCTTATATGTCACTCACTTTTATGTCTGTCCACAATTTGGGTTCAAATATGATCTCTGGGCAAACATTTGTTTTTCCTGTCCTTATGAGGACATATGAATATTCTGCAAGTTGAAGTGTTTATTCTGCAGCAAAGTCCTGGATTTCACATTGCACTGGCTCCCTCTAGTGATCACAACGAGCACTTACACATGTTCTGTCTCTTTCTTCACAAGGGTACGTGCTCCCAGATGTGCTACAACATCTTCATTGTGGAGACGGTGTGCGTGGCCTGGTTCTCCCTGGAGTTCACCCTGCGCTTCATTCAGGATCGCAGCAAGCTGACCTTCCTCAGACAGCCCCTGAACCTCATCGATGTGGTGGCCATCTTGCCCTACTACATCACCCTGCTGGTAGACAGCACCTCCAAAGGGGAGAAGCGGCCAGGGTCTGGCAGCAGCTACTTGGACAAAGTGGGCTTGGTGCTGCGCGTCCTGAGAGCCCTGCGCATCCTCTACGTGATGCGACTAGCTCGCCATTCACTGGGCCTGCAGACTCTGGGCTTGACGGCACGCCGCTGCACACGAGAGTTTGGACTGCTCCTCCTGTTCCTGTGTGTGGCCATCGCACTGTATTCCCCCTTGCTGTATTTGATTGAGAACGAAATGGCCACCACGCAGGAGTTCACCAGCATCCCTGCTACTTACTGGTGGGCTGTCATCACCATGACGACAGTGGGCTATGGGGACATGGTGCCGAGGAGCATCCCGGGGCAGGTGGTGGCTCTCAGCAGCATCCTGAGCGGGATCCTTCTCATGGCCTTCCCCGTCACCTCCATCTTCCACACCTTCTCTCGCTCCTACGTGGAGCTGAAGCAGGAGCAGCAGAGGCTGCTGCAGAGGAGGACACACTTTCTGCTGCGCAGCCGCATGGCCGGCCTGGGCAGCAACCTCTCCTTAGAGAGCGACATGCTCTTCCCCATGGGGTCATCTGACACCAGAGACATGGACGACTGAGGCTGTTGGACAGGAGTGGACAGTAAAGACTGGGGGGGAGGACAGAAAGAGAAGAGGAGAGAGGGTACAAAAGAGATGGAAAATGTGACGAGGAGAGGGAGAAAAAAGCTGACAAGGAATGAATCTGTGAAGAGTCAGTAGGGTGCAAAAGTCTGAGACCACTTTTCAGACTTTTGGACCCCACTGTACATAAAACAAGTTACAGGAGAGAAAAGGGATTTATTTTTCTTCCCAGAAATGCAGCCTTGCTGTGTAGCAGTGTACTTTTGATTTGACATGAAGAATCCACAGAAGAGAAAAAGAGGATGAGGAGAAATAACATACATTTTTTTTATAAAATAAAAATGAATTTTCTTCTTTTCATGGTCACAAGATATCAAATATATATGTCATATTTACAAAATTAGAACTATAATTCTCATACAAATCATAACTATAATACTCATGATAACCTCATTAAAACAATGCTCTATGTTATAATAGTCATATATTGGGATACATTGTAATTCAGATGTGAAATATGTGAACTGACACAAGAAATAACTGCGGAGCACAAACACGGCGTCCTCATGATCCAACAACATAGTGCTGTTTCTCACCTCTGATTAGATGTTGTCATGGATTTGTTGATGTTGTGTGCTCCTGGGAGTTAAACAGCGTCTCTTGATGGAAGACGCACTCTGCTTTTGTTAAGTCCCAACGGTTAAATGGAATTTCTTTCTAAGCTAAAATGTGACCCTTAGTCCACTGAGTATTTTCTAAATGACTGCGAAAGCTCTTAAAACTCCCCCCTCTCTGGCACCGCCAGCATCCACATATTAATTATGACGCGTTAATTGTCCTTCTTCAACTCTTTGAGGTGGTTCCATATGCAGTTTTTAAATACTTTTGGACATTTTGCATTATTGTGCTTGTAATTACTGCAGTTGCTGTGCATAGCTGTTTATAATTTATTTCTCTCTTTAAAGTGGATTTAAACTGAAATCTGTCTGTTGTGCAAATCATTGTTTCATTGTTGCTTCTGATTTTAACTTTTCACTTTATTATCCCAGAGGGAAAATGGTTTGCAGTGTCAGCACAATTGAACAATACCAGGGACAGACAGCATATATGGTGTCATACCACACCACCAGAAAGAAAATAATACAGCAATAAACAACACACAACACCACACAGCATCACCCTGCAGTGTTTATACAAGCAGAGGGACATAAGTGCACTTACTGCTGTTCTGACGCTTCCAAACATCTGGATGCTGCTTAATTTGTACAATGTGAACATAAAATTAAGCATTTTATTATCAATTATATTGGTATTTACTCTGTTCATGTTTCTTTCCAGTATTTTATACTTTAATGTAAAATAACTTCTGATACTTTCTCTATATTTTTGTAATAACGGCCTATTTTTTACTTAGGGAATTTTACCTGGATCACTGTTTAACATTCTGGCACTAAAAGTAAAGGATGTGAGAACCTCTTCCACCACTGGGTGCTGCTTTGAGTTTCATGTGATATGGGCATGCTACCTCATCTGAACAGTAGGTGGCAGTATTACGTCAGAAAAAAGGAAAGGGAACACAGGGGAGCTTATCATACATGATCTTTGATTTTTTTTTTTTTTTTTTTTTTAGGAAAAAAAACGTTTATTACGTCTCGCGCTCACGTACAAGAATATTAGGAAGCAGTAATGTATATTTTGATTTTCGGTATTTAATTCATCTTCATTTCTCCACATAGTGGCTGCAGTAGATAGCTCTCATGTGACTTTGAATTTAATACAAGAATCAAAGAATCACCATTTGCTTTCAGATTAAAACTGACAATCCTTTAGTGATTAATAAAAAAAAATGTAGATATGTATAAACAGAATCATAACCTGCCTTATAAATAACTCCACACTGAGCCACGTTTGAAACTGCGCTCTCGGGAGGGGAGGGGCTTCCGCGAAACGCCATTCAACTAAATCACAAGTCAATTATGCATGAAACAATCCCACCAATCAGAGTTTGACAGTGGGCCGGAGGCTCCGCCCCTCCTCGCCTCTATCATATCCCAGTGTTTTGGTCGTGATTTGCTGTCCCTGCACAGTAGCTGCCTGTCGGCCACTGCCACACGGAAACCCGCAGTACTCTATGTAACAGGACAGCCAGGTACTGGGACCCGTCTCCTTTAATGTAGCTGATTTAGTCTGTATGTAAATGAAAGAAAAAAATGTCTTCTTAGCTTCGAAGGCTTTACCCGACATGACCTCACCGGGCCGCCCCTCCAGATGAATGGGATCCCTCATCGCTTCTCTGCCGCTCGTCTTGGCACCGACTTGTCTCTAAAGCCCCGATTTTAGGATCTGTGAGCTTTCGGTCTCTGTGATCAGCTCATTAATGGTTTGACGCGAAATCCGCCCTGTCTGATCTGAAGAGAAGAGACGACGCCAAATCTCCGGTAACCTGCGCGTCAGGGTGAGTCGCCTCAACTTGTTATTGTAGTGCGAGCTACTTCAGCAGGCTACTGACAGACGGACAGACAGGGGTTCATTAAAGATGAATGAATTACTTTGTTGTTTGGTGACGGGTGCTTTGATCACATACACGTATCACATATACCTCCGTTTGACCTACATTTACACTGAACTTCTCGCTGCTAATATACATGCTTCTGTCAGTGGAGGTCACCCTGTACTTTTTAATTCACTTAAATCACTGGTTTCAACAGTGACAGTTACAGTGACTAGTCAGAGGTTTTGTAAGAACACAAACTACAAGTCATTACACACTGTACTACATTGTCCCTTGTCTGCAATCCTTCTGGGAACACGTAGAGCTTAATCACACAGCACTTCTCACTGTGCACATCCTCGATTTGAAGAGAAATGGCTCCCTGGGAGGAAGCCCTCACAAGACAAACTGAAACTTGGCAGCTGGAGCGGCTCTGCAGTCATGAGTTTGTTTTATTGGCTACCTGCTGCACTTTTACTGTTTTGCTGTGTGTGTGTAAATGAGGAGATCAGTGGAGAAGAATAAGGTCTATACTGTATGTGGGTCTACTACCCTGAATGCCACAGTTTCCTGCCCAGGATCCCACACACTTTAAAGACATGGCTGTCATATGCTTAGGATTAGTCTCTCCCACTCGACATGACTAAAAGGCCCAAATATTGACTCTAATGTGGTGGAAACTAATAATAGAAAGGACTAGGTATGCATAGACCTCAAAGTAAGTTTATAGTCTGTAATTTATTGAGGCGAGCCACGTCCTTGAACATACACACTGAGTCCATCTCTATCCATATTGTTTGTGTCTTAACATCATGGCTGGTATCAGACCTGACTCTGACACTTTTCCTATGATGATAGTAGAGATAAAACTCTTCTTACATCCCTTGTGCTCTCTCCACACACACACACACACACACACACACACACACACACACACACACACACACACACACACACACACACACACACACACACACACATTTAAACCAGCTGTACCACTATTTGCAGTGTGTGCTGTTGCAGTTTTCTGATCGGCCTAAAACCTAAATATTGTGTATAAACCCACAAGTTGTTTTTTCTGTCTCAGTAATCCTTTGTGAAATCTGAAGCATTTCTCCAGAAAAACATTTCTGGAGAGAGAGAGAGAGAGAGAGAGAGAGAGAGAGACATCAATAGTTTTTTAATGAAAATAAAATTGCTATTACATTTGATTATCAGTCATGCATTAGACTAATCCTCCACAGATTTTGCCTGTTTTCCTGAAGGAATTAGGATGTTTGGTAGCAAACAGGCAAAAACACATTATCCCATGGATTCAATATCCTTAAATTTAATATTGGGCCAGTTACACGCAAACTGATGCTGGGGATGAAGCCCGGTTGCGTATAAACACCCCAGGGCAGGCATGATGCCCATTTCTGCTCGTCCTTACCATACACGCTCTCCTGCTCAATTCACGCATGATCTCGGGGGGGGGGGGGGGTGGGGTGGGGGGGGGGGGGGGATTATGCTTTCACCTACTGTAAAGCCAAAGGACAAATGTTGCCAGTTTCACCAGCCTATTAGCATTCATTCGACACCAGGCAACGCAGCCAACCAGTGAGTGAGGAGTGTTTCTCAAAGTGGTACGAGATGGTTCATTGTGCTGCCCTCCCAACTGCCAGATTTCAGGCTCCACAGAGGGAACCTAATGCTCCTTGGAATCCCATGAATGCCTTCTAGTGAGAGCTGTAGATGTTTATGTCAGCTCCAATGAGATTGGTGGAAAGTGCAGCTCTTGAGGCTGAAATTCCTGCTAATTGGCAACGTGTCTGTGGACTGGCTCCTTTGTCGTCCCCCCCCCCCCCCCGCACACACACACACACACACACACACACACACCCCTCACACTGGAGTGTTCTGTCTGTCAGGGTGATACACTGGGCTTGGCATCAATGAACTGCTTGTTTCCGCAGCTATCCGGCCCCGGAGAATCAGCGGCTTCAAGACAAGTCGCTTCCACTTTCTTCAAAAAAAAAAAAAAAAAAAAAATTGCTTTTGTGCGCCTACTCAGAAGAGATGGAAAAGAACCATTTAGGGGTGGTCAGTAAAGTGTGCCAATCGAGCATTTTAATAGTGACGTGTACATTTGCCTCTGTGCTTAGCTGCACTGAAGTGAACCGAGCAGCTGCATTAAACAGACTCCACTGTAGCTGGCGGTTTGCTGAGTCCATCGTTTGATCTAACGAGTGTCCCACTTTCCTTTAGGTCAGATGAGGATTAATTGGCATTGAGCACGGAGGACATATTGTAATTGCTGGTGATATTATAAAGAGGAGCAAGCTTATAAGAACAGCAGTGAAAAAAAAAAAAAAGACAAGAAAAAAAATTAGAAGAAGGGCTGTCAAATTGTGCACAATGGAAGATGTCAGTAAGTGAGTCAGGGCTCTAATAGTCGTAGTTGTTGTTGTTGTAGTAGTAGTAGTGTGCCACTTCTTTGTTGAAATAACACATGATTCCCCTTTGGCTTCGGAGTACTTAACAAACAAAACATTTGTCTGATGCCAGCGTCAACCCCTCTTCAGTTAGCAAATGAGATGTGCGATAGACTCCAAAGGGGGAGAAAGAGAGAGGGATTGTACACACGAAAGGGGGGCATGAGATTTGTGATGGCGTCCCGCTGACAAACGCCTTTGAATTTTTCATGTGGCAGATACTAAACTTCTGTTGCTCTGGCCCAGATTCGGTGCTAATTAGTGCCCAGCGACGTTCAAGGGCATACGGTAGAGCATGGGAATGCCAGTGCCACCTGTTCTCTCTCGCTCTTTCTCTCTGTCTCATATCTCCAGCATCCTGTCAGGCTTTTTTATCAGTCTAGCTCTCTCTGTTTTAGTCTTTATGTGTGAGAGTGGCCTAGTTTTGTGCCGGTCATTGTCGTCTTCTTTTCAGTGTACGTCATTAACCTGAAAGTTGTGTGTTTCACTCCCATGGAAAAGTTCTACTTTGAAAGCCCACGCTGTATTGTGTTACTACCTGAAATAGTGACCACGGGACAGAAATGGAGGTTCACGCTGTTCAAACATGAAGCCACAAAGCTGTCCATTGCACCCACGTAGAGGCAGTTGAATGATAAGGATGCAGAACTGAAGCGCTCTGACATATCTCTCCAAGCTCTATGTCAGAAGGGCCTGTGCTTGCCGGCCATTTGAATGAAGTATCTGATAGTGTGATACAGACAAACAGAGGAGGGCTTGTATCCTCCCAGGATCCCTGGCCACTTCCTGTCCCTCTGCTCTGGGAATGGGCCAGGGTGACACAGGCCATGCATCTCCACTCAATCCACCCACTGTTGCCTCTGTGGAAAAGCGATCACTCTCACACCCTCATTCCCATCGCTCCGTGCACATTTCTTGTGACAGGAAAAGCGTCTTTGGCATTTAGAAAGATGCCTCTATGTGTGGCTTTGTGTGGGCGCAGCTGTGCGAGCCCGGTCAGGATGATGAGATGCTGGGAAGAGCACATGCTGCTCTCCCAGCTCTTAAAATGTGAGGCTCTCCATCCATCCTCTGAGAATCGCTGCTGTAGACGTCCACATGGGAGTTTTTATGCAGATCGTGCGCTCGCAGAGATGATCAACCCCGTCAGACTCAACCTCTGGACCAGGCAGATCTTATAATCTTACCAAAACCTGATAACACAAATATGCTTGTGTGGAATTTCCTAAGAAAAGAAGAATCTGCATGAAGAGATGTGGGAACACAATATGATTTCATCATCTTTTCATTTCTTTTCCACTGAGTCACACGTTGAAGCAGAATCGGAATGAAGAGTGAATGGACAGAAATGTGCCTGGGTCTAATTATTATTGTACAGTTGTGTCGATACACAAACAGTTTTTCAATCAACCTAAAATTAATCTGATAAAATATGATTAATCGGTAAATTAATTTGTAGATCAATTCATAATGGGAATAATCATTGTTCCAGTCGTACATCCAAGTAGCTGAGACTCATGGTCTTTGCATCGATATTAAAGGTGCCATAAGTAATGTTTTTACTGTCTGATATACTGACTGTGGGAGGTTGCTGAACAATAACTAAACAATGACTCACTCATTACTTTTGCCAAGTACTGTGATTTCTCACTTTCAAATTTGGCTTTTCAGCTCGCAGCCTGTTTTGTAGCAACAGTTCTTCGCTGACTTTAAACGTAGTTGTATTTTTAGCTGGACTGTTGGACAGTGAGCAACTGTGTTTATTATTCCTTTATTGTTTTATTATGCTATCGCCCGTCTTTGCAGCAGCCCTGGCGGGGGGAACTTACTGATCTCTAAACTGATAATGTCATTTTATGAATATTCGTGTTAAGTTGCCAGTAGAGGGTGTCTTCCTGTAAAAAAAAAAAACGAGCCCATAGGTCGTTTGTGCAGCAGGTTATTATGAGCCATATCTACGTTTTGTTGTTAGGCAACATCTAGCGACCGTAGTAATTATGACGGGAGCAAAGGGAAAAGGTGACGGTGGCGTAGTGTAAAGAGCGACAAAGTCCGCATCAGGAGGAAGTTGTAGTGGATGGATGGGTCAACAAAACAGGAATATGACAGGAGAGCAGTGTGCGATTCCCATTGGAAAGAAGCAGTTTAAGTTAACCAAGTTCTTATTATTGTAACCATGGCAACATCTAATGTTGAGGAAGTACTTATTTTAACCCAAATCATGATCTTTTCCTAGTAGTTTTTGTGCCTAACCCTAACCAAGCCATGACTGTTAATTATAGTAACCATGGCGACGAAGGTAGGTACTCCGCTCTCAATACAGTCCACGTGTTTTTTATTGTAACCATGATAACCAAGGTCCGGTACGCCTGTCGCCGTAGGGGTGCTATTTCAGGAGACACTCCTATGGGTCTTATCAGAGAGTTGAAAAAAACTAAAACGAGCTATACGGTTGTTCAGGTTCGAGGACTTATTGTGCCAGTGACCTGT